CGCGCTGCCGCCGCCGCCGCAGCTCAGCAACAGCCCCAGCGGCGACGGCTCCGCCTCGCTCCCGTTACAGAATTTGGTCTTCATGCCGGCCGGGCGGCCGCAGAGCAACAGGACGAGGCTCAGCGTCCGGTCGGAGCCTCACGGAGCTGGGGGGAGGTCGCGCCCGCCGCTGCGGGCTCGCTGACGGCTCGTCTGACGGACCGCCGGCTCGGGGTGGCGCTGGCAACCGAGCGGTTCGGGCGCGGGCGACGGTTGGCGGCGCTCTCGGCGGTGCTGCTCGCCAGCGCTGGCTCCTATACCGCCACCGCACGAGGAGCGCCGCCGCGCGTCACAGCCCGCCCTCTCGCTCGCCGCTGATTGGCCGGCGCCCTGCATCACAACCGCCGCCGCCCTCGCCACGCCGCTTCCCATTGGCTGCAGCACCGCCACCGCCTCGGGCACTACGGCTGCCAGGGGGCGGGGCCTCGAGCGCTGCGCCCGTGTCGCTGGGATGGGGGAGCGCGAGGCGGAGGCACTGGGATGCTGGAGCGCTGAGCGCCGGGAGCGTGGCTGCAGATCCCGCCCGCGCGGGGAGGCTCCAGGGCATCAGAGGGCCTGGACTGGCCTGGGAGCTGAAACTCTCCTCAGATCCCTGGGAAGCTCAGGCACCGAAGCCGGGGGCCTTGACGGCGTCAGAAAACGTCGTCTGCAGCCGGTTTCTCTCCGCGCGACCTTGGGGCCGGGTGCTCTTCCCGAGCCGGAGCCGGAGGGAGGATTTATTACCCTGGGTCAGACCCGAGGCTCTGAACGGGGAAAATGTGCCTGGTTTAGGGCCACCAGCCGGCCGAGGCCGACCAGGCTGCACAGCCGGGTCCCGGGGACGCGCTCTCCGCACGCCTGGCGCGGCCTCAGTTTCCCTGTCCGTGGTGCTGAGAGGCTGGGGTGGCGCCCGGCACGTGGGCCAGAGGGCGCGCCACAGAGCTGCTGCTTTGTCGGCGCTGCCACCGCTGCTCCCCACCCCGGGCAGCCGCGTGACCGTGACTTAACGCACCTTTGCCCGGGCGGGGTTGGGGGGCAAGGGTCCCTGCAAACCAGCTCCGTGCCAGTCACTGCTCCAAGTCCCTCACCCCTGTTTGGCCTGTTTGGAAGTAAGCAGAGTACAGAGAATAATTAGAATACAGATCCTGTTTCCTGGAACCTGAGCTACGGCGAGACATTTTCACCTGGTCGCCAAAGGCTTAGGAAATCGAGCCAGGCGCACCGGAAATGGCCTCTGTGTGGCTTCAGCCGGCCGGAAGCAAGTCTCTTTTTAGGCAGTGTGCGCTTGGCTGAAGGGCTCCAAGAAAAAGCGTCACAGTTAACCACAGGGGGGCTTTCGACAGGCCTGCAGGCTGAGCTAGGAGCTCGACTTCTAGCTGGGAGCTAGGACGGGACCAGGCTTTAAATGGGGAGGTCCAGCGGCTGTTGAAAAGGCTGAGACATCAAGGTCTCTCGTCAGGGCAGCCGTTTAGATAAAAGACCCAAGGACTTTTGTCTAAAAATACCAGCCCACAGGGAGGTGGGGCCCCGAGCCCATGGCCTGCCCAGGTGATAGGCTCTGTCCCCTGGCACTAGTCTGGTCATCTCAAAGGAATGCTGGAAGTCTGGCTTGGAGGAAGGGGCATGAGAAGTAAGGGGTGGGCCTCTCTCTATAATTTGAAATAACTCTTTCTGGCATCTGTTGGTTTGGGCTATTAAAACCCACAGGCCTTTATGGGATTGCAGTGCCCCGTGGGAGTTAGAGGTTGGCTCATTAAACATGTTAGAAACGTTCCCTGGGGCCTCAACCTTGAAAGAAAAGTGGGATGTGGACAACTTGTGGAGTTGGGGAGGCCAGGAGGGGGGACTCGATGCCCGATGCGGGGTGTTCCAGGCTTTGGCTCCGTGAGTCTGGCAATTTTAAGTTGAGGAAAACCGGGGCATTTTCCTTTCAGAGCGTCACGCACGCTCCCAGCCTTTAGAGAGCAGAATACTTGGGGGTGAAGGCCCCCTCGGGCCCTGCCTGCTCTTTGCTTCACTGGTCTTCCCTCTGCTCAACGCGCCCTCATTGGAGGCTTCTGAAGCGTTTGAGGATTCACAGGATGCGGCTGGTTAGCTCCAGCAAGACGGTTTGAGCGCTCAGAAAACACTGATGTGGGATGCCGTGTGAATTTTAAGGATGTGGCTTTGGGCTCGTCAGTCACATGTCTAGGGCAGGGAGTCGGGGAGCGTGCTTTCCTCAGAGCCTTTAGTATGCGGGCTTCTCTCCACCCGTTGTGGGGAGGCTATCCTCCTGGGCGACCAGGAAGTCGACTTGAATGTGGATGTTGGCCAAAGTTGCTTCCCTTACCAGGAATGTCACGACAGCTCTGGGGCTCAACTCGATGATCTCCATTTAACAGAAAAAGAGACTGAAGCTCAGAGTGGTTAAATAGCTCACCTGAAACCACACAGCAAGTACATGGCAGAGCCTGGGGTTGAGCCCAGGCAGCTTGGCTACGGAGTTTGCCCCAGTTCCACCTCATCCCCCCTCATGAGCCACAACCTGGGTCCATCACTCGGGGCTTCTGATTCACACCCCCCAGAATGCGAATTTGATTGGCTCAGCTCATCTCTCCACGCCCTGTCAGGAGCCAGTGGTCAGCCCAGGAATTGGCTGCCCTTGAGTCAGGTGCCCTGACCTGGTCCACTCAGCTGTAGCCAGGTTGCTGGTATCAGACAAGTCTCCCTGAGTAGCAGGGGCGGGGCCAGGGTAGGTGGCTTTGCAGGTGTGGCTAAGGTGCAGGTCCTGTGATACCATGTACCTCATAGGTGTGTGTATGTCACACACATGGGTATCAGCCATATTGATGTATTTAACATGCTCGTCACTTAAGTGACCACAGCCAAGGCCTTCTAAGCCATGGTCCAACTCAGGCAGGGCCCCTGAGACCCGGTGTCCCCTTGCTGCTCACCATGCAGGCTTCCAGCTGCCACAACATCTTTTGCTGCCACAGTCTGACCTGGGCCGCAGATGCCACCAGGAGTGCCACACACAAGCCCTGCTTTGGAGAGGGCCATTTGTGAATCAGGTCTTCCTGTTCATGCCACAAGCACGCTGTTGACACAGTCCCCACTTCTGTGGAGCAAGGGTGATGAGCCGGTGGCCTGGGTTTGCATCCTGCCCCACCGCGGATGGGGTGTGTGCTTTCAGGGGAGTCACTTATCCTGTCTGAGCCCCACTGCCCTTGTCTCTAAAGAGGGGATAATAGCCCCTTTCATGGGGGAGGTTATCATATAAGGACCTCTGAGAGCCCCAATCCCCAAGAGGGGGCGGTTCGTCCAACCGCCACTTTCCTACCTCAGCATTCTCTCTGCCCCCAGCCACCCCCAGATGGCATTCCCTTTCTGTGCTGGGTTCAGTAATTCACCATAATGTGTCAGGGCTCACCAACTAGACTTACGGTTAAGCGGTCTGTTAGGGTGAAAGGATATGGGCATCAAGAAGAGGTACACAGGCAAGGTCTGGGTGGTCCCCAAAGCCCAGCCCCCACCTTCCCAAAGACAACATCTCTTCCTCTGCCAACCAGAGCAGCTTGGGGCCAAAAAGCTCTGGAGCCCTCGCTTTTATCCCCCGGTCTATATGCTTGTCATTGGTTCCCAGCTAGGCTCCCGAGCTAGACCAAAAACCCCAAAGCAAACCCAGGGCCCAGAGTCGATTCTGACTCCTAGTGACCCTGCAGGACAGAGCAGAACTGCCCCATAGGGTCTCCAGGGCTGTCAGTCTTCACGGAAGCAGACTGCCACATCTTTCTCCCACAGAGCTGCTAGTAGGTTCCAACCACTGACAAACGTTTTGGTTAGCAGTTGAGCACTTTACACACTGTGCCACAAAACCAAAAATCCGTTGCTGTTGAGTCAGTCCTGACTCGTGCTGACCCAGCAGGAAGTGCTGTGGCTCTGTGTGGAAGCAGACTGCCACATCTTCCTCCCACAAGGCTGGTGGGTTCACACCACTGATGTTTTGGTTCGCAGCTGAGTGCTTTCACCACAGCGCCACCAAAGTTCCCTCTAGCTGGATGGGTGCCCAAAAACCCCTCAGGTGGAATCACTTCCTTGGGAAGTAATTACCAAGGAAACCTCTTGAGGTTATTTTTCCACAGATCAAGGGCAAAGGCCAGAGAAGGGAATTCCCTACATCACAGGGGATTGTAAGGATCAGTGAGACAAGGCAGAGTGTCCCCAGTGCCTAGCACAGAACCCATCTGTGTGTGTGTGTGTGTGTGTGCAGGGTTCTATGTGGGTAGCTTCTGTGTAATTGGTGTAAAGACTGAGTCCTGCCGAGGCTGAAGCCTCTCAGCTAAGTGAGGGGCGAGACAGGTCCAGTTGGTTCCCAGGTCTCCCGGCTCCTCTGCCTTCTCCACGCCCCTTGATAGCACCGTTTTGTGCTCAGAGCACAGGCTCAAGCTGGGGTGCAAAACTTCCCTACAGCCAAGCAAAAGTCCTACACTGGGCTCCTGTTGGCCTGTCCTTGGCTTAGGCATCAAGACCCACGCCTGACACCGAGGCGCCCAACTCTGCTTTCAGGGGAGCCACTTATCCTCTCTGAGCCCCACTTCCCTTGTCTGTCAAGAGGGGATAATAGCCCATTTCGTGGGGGAGGCTCTATCATATAAGGACCTCTGAGAGCCCCACCTGGGCAGGCACCGGGGAGCTCGGCCAATTGTAAGCACTAACATGATAGGTTGTTTGGTTTGGCAGTTCCTCACAAAAGTTAAACAGAGACTCACCATCTGACCCAGTGGTTCCCCAGCAGGGTGAGCCTCAGAGGAGCGAGGCAGGCCCTCGTGTGTCAGTGGTCGCCTTGCTTCACTATTCACCAGAGCCCAGAGGTGGGAACCCCCGAGTGTCCGTCGATGGATGAGGGGAACACACAACGTGGCTTATCTGTACACTGGACATTCGGCCACAGAGATAAATGCCGTCCAAGGCGCACGACGACCTTGGTGAACCTCAACAACATGATGCTGAGTGAAGTGATCCCACTTACACGAGCACCCAGAATGGGCAACTCCACAGAGCCAGACAGGAGGTCAGTGGTCACCAGG